TCATTGGCTTGTTTAGTTAACACTCGAAGGTGATTGGGCTCTCGGGCGAGATCCCAATTCGTCAGTCACGACTGACGTTATGCCTCCGTTCCCTCCTTCAGGGAACGAGGGTTACACAAGTAACCGAGACATTACATATATATTCCACAAAATAAAATAATAGTAAAAATAATAAGTGCCCGCTGTATACTTAAGATGGACACAAATTAATAATAAACTGTACCTTCTTTCAGCACCAGCTCCAACTTCATGTCATAGATGTCAGAGTCCTGTTTCAGATCCATTCCCACCACTGTGACTTTATAAACTGTCAAAGAGTCGTGTTATATTGGTGTTATATCAGAGCTGTGAGACTGGATCTCAGTGGCTGAGGAAGGAGAATGTGTGTTTACCATAATCCATGCCAGCTTCACAGGCTTTATTCAAACGCTCCTCATCTTTGACCCGATACTTCCTCTGGTAACTGCAGTTTTCTGTTATGAGATGTTGATTTTTTAAATATATATATGTATTCACACATTCATAACAAACCAACAAAACATTTTCCTCCATTCATAAAAAGTAAAAAAAATAAAATAAATAAAAATTATAGTAAATAAATAAAATTAATAAAATGAAGTAGAACACCATTTAAACTATTTAAATTAAGATTATTTGGCTCTTATGACAAGTGGCGAATGGCTTTGGATAAAAATGTCTGGCGAATGAGTGTAATTGTAATACCTTCTGCACACTGGCACAGGTCTCCTTTACACAGTCTGTATATCGCACCATCTTTCCTTTCAGGGTGGTAGAACTTTGTACAGCGTGCAACTGAAAAACACACATGCATTTAATTAAAGACGACTACAACACCCTTCTAGCACTGCGAAAACTTGCCAGAAAATCCCGAATGCAGCAGCATGTCATACACACATTCAGCCTCAAACCAGAGCATTTGACCAACCAACGTTCTGCACTTTAAAAACAATTGTGTAAAATCGCTGTAATAAAACGGCCAAATTTTGACAGCAACATGCTGTTTTCCATTAAAGCAGTGCATTCTGGTTAATATTTGTCATTTTTCGAGAAAGCAGCCTGCTGCTATATATCGTGAATTAACAACGGTCAGAGTCGACACTCAGAGGCTGTGTTTCAAATCACACCCTACACCCTCATTCACTATTCCCTACATGAGTTTACTAATACAGTCCACCTGACAGAGAGAATGAACACTAATGAGTGGATTCAGACAGTGATGAACAGCTGCTGTTAACAAGCAGACTCACTGAAGAAAAGAGAAACACAAGAACTACAACTGACTTCAGCCACAGCCTTAGATGAAATCAACTGAAATAAGACAGCAGAACATGATCAAACAACTCCACACACAGCATTACAGTCTGACTTTATTTCTGTCATATATCTACACAAATTATTTGAGAATTAACAGAGGTTTAGATGTTTTATTGAACACGTTTTGTTTGACCTCATCATCGTGGCGATCAGTGTTTGCTTTAGTTGGGCTCTTGACCCTTCACTTTTTAGTCCTAGTTTGTCTGGTTTCTGTATCTGTGTTTGTAAAGCACACTTGTTACAGCAATAAAAGTGCAGAAAAAATATTATTAAATGGTTCTGGTTAATTATTGATGATGGTGTAATCATCATTTTGTGACCTGATTCACTGATCTTGTTCACTGGTTGAGCTTTAAAACTATAGTGTGGGTTTTTGCTTGTTTCATGTTATTTATGATAGCTATAGCAATTATGGATTTTGAAAACTTTTTATGCTCAAAGGCTTTAATACTACAGGATCTCTCAGACACACAGAGATATCAAGAATCAGCGTATGAATCTCAACAATTGTGACAATCAAAAGCTTCATGCTGCAATGCATGCTGGGTACCAGCACAGCACAAAACTCACCCTTTACTCCCAGCATGCATTGCGGCATGAAGAAATTATGCAGCTGAATTGTCCACTTATTTTCTTGAATTCTTATGTGCTTTTATTTTTGTTAAGTTTTAGTAGCATGTTTTGTGATGTTCAGAGTTGATCTATTTATTTAGTTGATTGTCACCGTTGATGTGTCTGTCTAAATTACAACAAAGCATTTTTTTGAGTGTTGTGTTTTAAAGGTCTTTCATAATTAATTGCTTAGTGCTTGTCCTTTTGCTCTAATATCAATATTCAGTAAGAAAATAGACCCAGGATAAAACCATTTAATTAGAATAAGAGAACGACTATCATCATCAATCTGTAAACAACTAAATCAGATTTTTTTTTTCTTTGATTGTTTTTTGCCATAACAAACATGCTTCAAAAATACATTGCTGTAACAGCCAAAGTAAAGATGATGTTAAAAAGTCAAGGTTCAAGAGCCCAACTAAAGTAAACACTGATCTCCATCTGCTTGTCCTTTTGCTCTAATATCAATATTCAGTAAGAAAATAGACCCAGGATAAAACCATTTAATTAGAATAAGAGAACGACTGTCATCATCAATCTGTAAACAACGAAATCAGATTTTTTTTTCTTTGATTGTTTTTTGCCATAACAAACATGCTTCAAAAATACATTGCTGTAACAGCCAAAGTAAAGATGATGTTAAAAAGTCAAGGTTCAAGCTGCTTCAGTGTTACTCTAACACTCTGGTAGTGTGCACACATTATAAGTGTTAATTTAAAATTGAGGATTTTGCTGTGGGGTTTAAAGGGTTAACATACATCATGTTGACAACTTCATGTGTGGTGCACTTGGAATAGAATTTTATTTAACTAGAGGGTAAATAAAGAAAAAGTTACTTGAATGTTGTAGTTACATTTTCAAGTTGACTAGTTAAAAATCATAAAAATCGAGAATCGGACAAACATTCTGAAAAAAAAATTAGATTTAATTTTTTGGCCATATCGCCCAGCCCTAATTCCAGCTGGTATCTAGATATGATGATTTAAATAAAATACCGCAACAGTACAAGAGATGGTCTCTTTACACTATTATTAGCTATGATACCTTCTGCACACTGGCACAGGTCTCCTTTACACAGTCTGTATATCGCACCATCTGTCCTTTCAGGGTGGTAGAACTTTGTACAGCGTGCATTTGAAAAAAAGGAGGGATGTCAACTGATTAAAAATGCTACTGTAAATGATTTCATGATATGCAAGTGAATTAATCTCAACAAATATCACATTACAATATCTGTTGAGAAAAGCCCACAAATAAAGATTATTTGAAGACATTCTATGTGGCAAATGAGTAAATCCTTGAATGAACATTAAAAGAGTGTCTTTGTGAAGGACTAGGATCAAAAAAATACCCAACAAAATTACTTTAATGAATTGATTCCAAGAAAGAAGAATTAAGAGTTATCCTCAAAACAGTATCAACATTTGGCAATGAAATTGCATTTTTTAATACATTGATACTTCCACAAAAGTAATCGTTAATAGCAATTCATACAGGAATTATTAATTTCCTCATGATTCCCTTCCCTAGTTACCTGTAGCAGCAGCTGCTGTGCTGATGGTACAGAGATCACTTATTACGTAACATATGTGCATGGCTAAATTTGTTCATTTTTCAAAGCATGAATTTTAATAATTAATAGCACTAAATAAACATGTTAATTTAAGAACTTAAATAGCTCACCTGGTGAGTAATATTCATATATTGTGACTGCAGCAGGTTGTAGTTGACCCACATTAAGCATCTGGTGCATTCTGAAAACAATTCTTTCTGTCTCTCTGTGAGAAACCTATTGAGACAGAACTCAAAGTAATTTTATTATATGATATTAAGTATCATATTGCACACTAAAAACTGCCTACATTAACATTTGCACAAATAATAAGTGACAAATAATAACAAATACAGTAAAAATACAATTAAAAAAATTTTTGTTGGAAAAAAAATTATTAGTATATTTGCATATGATTTGTGATTGTTTGTCTTTTTTGCATTTCTTTAACAACCTGTATCTGGATTTATACTGCAAAAACAGTGTTCTCTTTTGCACAGCTGAAAGTCGTAGGCTAGATCTATATATTACATTTGCATTTTATTCTTTCCTCTTTAAAATGTCATGTGAAATATGATTCTGATATGCAGTCTGCAATGCACACAAAAAGTGAATATGCAATGATATATTGACATATGGAAGCACATGGTGTTTGCATTTGTTCTCCACCATGGATGTGTAGCGGTGTCAATCCATCATTTCTGTGTGTGTTATTCATTGTAGCTGATTTTTATTTGACAATTAATGTAAGGGAGAGCCACTCGTGTCATCCCATGGGGGGTGGGGTTGTGTGTTTTCTGCATTGCAACTGACAATTCTGACAAATTCTGACAAATTATATAACAAAATCAAAATTTTTATAGTATTTAATTGATTTCTGTGCGTGATTTTTCCCATTTATTTCAATGTGGGGTCTCCAGAGTTTGACTTTTTTTTTCACATTAACATACAACCAGATATCATTCCAATGTATTTTTGTGTTTGTAGAGCTAGCAAGTGTTAACAAAATCCCAAATAACTTATACTGTGATAGTAAGTAAAACACATGGTTTCCAGATCATATCATATCATATCATATATAAAATAAAACTTTTTAAAATGATCAGGCACCACAGTTTGCTGACATACAGTACCTTATTTAAGTAGAGGATGAGGGATCCTCGCTCTGAAAGAACTTTATTCTTCTCATATTTCTGAATGTATCTCTCCTTCCCTGAAGACAACTGAGAGCAAGAAAATAAGAAAACAAAAACCTCAATACATGACATGATCAAAATGCTTTATGTCCTGTCTGCAGATGAGTGTTAGATTCCTCTTCTATATACAGAAACATAACTGCATCAGTTTATCATCACAATACCTGTTTAAGATCACTTTCTTCAACTTCAAATCCAGTCGGTAAGCCAATGTCCAGAATTGTCATGGTGGCATCAGTTTTATCATCTTTGTAGCTGTGAAGATGGAGATCAAGAGCAGATTTTAATAACTGGTTTTGTAGTTTTGCTCCATCTTCTCTGTGTTTAAAGCTGTTTTCACACTAGAGCTTTTGGTGTGAACCCGAGTCAGTTTGACTTCAGAATTATTATACTGTAGTGACGCAGAGCTGCTCGTCTCTGAATAAACTCGTCTCTGTATTTGTAAAACAAGTTTCATCCATGTTAGAGCGCAGTGAAACTGGAGTCTCTGTCAGAGTCATTATCTAATCACAATGGTAACCAGCTTTCACTAGTAATCACATTCATGATGCAAACATACCGCCAATGTGAGAAAAGTGAGGCGGGATCGAACTCGGGCTCCAACCAAGTAAACAAAGCAAGTTTAAAAACAGCCAACATGAGCACATGCTGACAAAATACAACTAAATTATTTAATGACCAAAAAAATATACTTATTAGGATATTGGTTCACATACAAGAAATCCATAGTGAAGTTGTAACTTGCAATGGCTCCTTGTCTTGCTAAAGGGAAACAACATATATTATATACTATATTAAAATAAGGGGTCGGGTATAAATACAGTTTTTCACACTTAAAAATAACCCTGGGTCATTCTAAACCCCAAGGTTAACTGAATTCTAGATTATGTTGCTTCACGTTCACACTGCTCATGAATTGTTAACCCTGGGTAAATTATCTGTACGCATTTTAAAACTGACATTTCACATTCCTAAACCCTGAGTTAACATTCTAATTTGCATATTTGCAGTGTCAGTGTCATTTGTTGCCTTTACCTGGGGTTAAATATGGGGTATAGAGCAACAATAACCTGGAGTTAATTGCAGTGTGAAAAACGTCATGTATGGAAAGTGCCACAGAAAGGGCATGAACTCAATCTTACCTTCATTGTCTTTCTCCATTTTAACAGTCAGATCAAAGAAAGTACATTCAGATTTCTTCTCAACAGGTCTGGCGTAGTACAGCGTCAGAACCTGAAAACAGCAGCACGTCTCAGATTAGATGTTCACAAGCTTTAATCTTGCTGTTGACTGTATAAACGCTCACGAACACTCACTGAGAGAATGGCTGTTCCAGTTCCTTTAGCAGTTACATTGAACTCCTTGTTTATTTCCATCTGTTGAGTGAATGCAGACATACTCGAGTCATCAGAATAATCAAATCCATGATATAAAAGAGATATGTGAAGATTTTATTAAACATGATGGCGAACAACAAAACTTATATAATAAAACAATAAGATTTCAATTGAAATATGGAGCTAGAACCATTTTGAATGATTGTATTGTGTTACTCCTCACCCTGTCTGATCGTGTAAGATGTGCATTATTTCTTTTGATAGCCCATTTGACAGGTTTGCTTCTTCCTGCCACGGACAGCTCCACGTCCAGATTGAAGGTTTGTCGGTCCTTCACCTGCGTGCGATACTCTGCCACGGCCTGGAACACCATGATGGTCGCCTAGAAAAGACAGAAAAGCATTAAAATCCAGGACTCCAGGCTGCAACTAAACTGTAATGATGTGAGAAACACAGCTTTCTGAAACTTTGAATAAACTGAATCAATTGCTTTGCAAAAAGAATCACTGCTTTGAAGTGCTGGAAACACCACACTGGTCATGCCTGCTAGTCATTACTTTGACAGGTTTGCTTCTTCTTGCCACGGACAGCTCCACGTCCAGATTGAAGGTTTGTCGGTCCTTCACCTGCGTGTGATACTCTGCCACGGCCTGGAACACCATGATGGTCGCCTAGAAAAGACAGAAAAGCATTCAAAGGCAGGACTCCAGGCTGCAACTAAACTGTAATGATGTGAGAAACACAGCTTTCTGAAACTTTGAATAAACTGAATCAATTGCTTTGCAAAAAGAATCACTGCTTTGAAGTGCTGGAAACACCACACTGGTCATGCCTGCTAGTCATTACAGTTTAAAAGCAATTAAAACTTGCATAAAAACACCTTTTACAAATCAATAGCAAATGTTTTATTGAAAGTGTAGACTAAGAAATGCAATTAAGAAATCAGGTACTACCATTAAATATTATGTGTGCATAATGATATTTTATTAATTTGAAGTGCTTGTTTTGTTTGTTTTATGGAAATCTTGGTTAATCAGGCCAAGAATGTTTTTGTTATTATACAAATGGATTAAAGGAGTAATGAAATATAACTACAGTAATTTTTTCTAGTAATTAAGCTATAGCAACTTATGTGTATTTTCATGTATTATAAATGTGTTTAGGCTATTGATTTTCATAACAAATACCATAGAAACCATATAGTTACTTTTTACAATGGTAGCTAGGTACAATGCATGGTAGTTAAAATGCATGGTTTACCTGCCATTAACATGGTTCAATTTAATAAGAGTAGAATCTTAACTCAGTCAGAATATTTAGTTCCCTTCCGATACTACACTCGTACGGCGTCTTGCTAGACGCCATGGGAAAAAGTCAGTTTTTCTCTTGAACTGAAGCGCAGTTTCGATCATGCAGTGAAACTGCAAGGCCATTGGTTCGTGCAGTATGTTTTAAAAACGAACAAATTTCTAAAGAGCAAATTTCTCTGCATTGTTTCAAATGCCACGCCGTTACTGCGGTACGTGCAGAGCTCCCTTTCACGCCAATGGCTATTGGGCGCTCCATGGCCAGTCTGGTTGTGTTGGAGTGCCACCTATGGCTGACCCTAACCGAGATCAAGGACGCTGACAAAGTCCCGTTCCTCGACGCCCCGGTCTCTCCCAATAGTCTGTTCGGGCCAGTGGTCGAGGGCTTCGCTGAGCGCTTTACTGAAGCACAGAAGTCGTCCCAAGCCATGCGACACTTCCTACCAAAGCACTCCAGTTCTGCAGCTGCCTCGAGTCGCCCCAAATCTGCACCGACTCAGCAGCCCGCGAAGCCTGCACCTGTCCATCCCTGGAGTATCAGAATGGGTTCTGGGGATAATAAAGTGAGGTTATTCACTCCAATTCGCTCGAAGACCCCCGCGCTTCAGCGGAGTGGTCCCCACTTCGGTTCAGAGGGAGCCATAGAGGTGGTTCCTCCGGCCCAGAGCGTTTCTGGCTTCTACAGCCGTTATTTCCTCGTCCCCAAGAAGGACAGCGGCCTACGACTCCCATCCCATGCGTGGCGTCATGGATGCCTGATTATCAGGGTAGATCAGGCCTGTGTAACGGCCCTGACCCCCTGGATGAACACTGGAACAGGGAGTTCCCCTGGGAATGGTCTACAGGAGGAAGGTTGTTTTGACAGATGCTTCCAACACAGGTTGGGTAGCTCTGTGTGAAGGGAAACTGATGTTCGGCCACTGGTCGATAGCGGAAAGCAGTCTGCACATCAACTGTCTCGAAATGTTGGCGGTATGGCGGGCCTGTCGAACCTTCCTACCAGACCTCAGGGGCCATCATGTCTTGGTCCATTCGGACAGCAAGACGGTGGTGTCCTACATAAATCTCCAGGGGGGGACTGTCCTCGAAGCGACTCCTTGTACTAGTAGAGCAGCTCTTGGAATGGACCCAGCTAAACCTATGTTCGCTGAGAGCAGCACACGTTCTGGGCATATTGAACCGAGGAGCTGATATATTGTCACGAAGCAAGGTCCCCTCAGAGGAGTGGATGCTTCATCTGCAGACAGTTCAGAAAATTTGGGAAGTCTTCGGCAGGGCGGAAGTAGACCTCTACGCCTCAGAAGACAATTCTCACTGCCCAATCTATTTTTCTAGGGACAAGGATGCGTTGGCCCACAACTGACCCAACCCCCTTCTCTATGCTTTTCCCCCAATTGCCCTGATTCCACAGGTAATCAGGCAGATCAGGGAACAGAAACGCAAAGTGCTCCTGGTGGCCCCGCTCTGGAGAAACCAACATTGGTTGGCAGAGCTGTCGCAGCTGCTAATAGCAGCCCCGTGGCCTATTCCCCTGAGGCGAGATCTCCTCTCCCAGGCGAAAAGGACGATATGGCACCCCAGGCCAGAGCTGTGGGCCTTGCACCTGTGGCCACTCGACGGGAGCCTGTTAGTCTCCCAGAGTGTGTGTTGAACACCATTCCTCAGGCTAGAGCTCTGACGACAAGACGCCTCTACGCCCTTAAATGGTCAGCGTTCTCTGGACCCGCTCACTTGCGACCTATCGGTGATACTGTCCTTCCTGCAGGAGCTGTTGGACAAGGGATGCTCCCTCACCACGCTCAAGGTCTACGTGGCGGCAATAGTGGCTTCTCATGCCCCTATAACGGGCCAATCGGTCGTCAGGAACAACCTTGTTGTTCATTTTCTGAGGGGAGCCAGGAGGCTAAATCCGCCCTGGCCTCTCACTGTCCCTATGTGGGACCTGCCCACTGTTCTGAGGGCCCTGAAGGGTCCTCCCTTCGTGCCGCTGCAGTTCGTCGACCTTCAGTCCCTGACGTTTAAAACCGCCTACTCTTCCTCGGGCCTACAATGCCCCGTTGGAGTATGAGCCCACTCAACTAGAGGCATCGCCTCTTCGTGGGCATGGTCTGGCGGCGTGAACATTGCAGAAATTTGTGCGGTGGCCGGCTGGGCCTCGCCATCCACTTTTGCTAGGTTCTATAACCTGGATGTCCCTGCCTTGCAGGCAAGGGTTCTTTCTGCTTAACTGGCACGCAGTTCGCTCTGAGTGCAGTTTGGATGTAATATGCCCAGACCTATCAGAGAGCTTACTTGTGCGCTCTCGGCCCCCATGGGTGTTGAGGCTGCGCAAGTCTTCTGGAACGATCACTCGGCTGGGTGAGGCCTTCGTGAGGCTTAGCTCGTTAGCCTGGAGGGATTTATTGTCCTTGTTCTCTTGGGCCCTGAGGTGCTAAAGACAAGGATTACCATTGTCGTTCCTCTGCCACGGCACGGCGTGATTGTACTGTTCTCATAGCGTCTAGCAAGACGCAGTACGAGTGTAGTATCGAAAGGGAACCGAGGTTACATTTGTAACCAAGTACGATTTCACCCTATAACAGTGAGGTAGTAACAATATTTACAGATGCTATTGTTCTCATTAATGAAAGCTCAAGCTGCACCTACTGTCAAATGCTGGTTCCACCATCTGTACACCTATTATCATAGTCAAATGATGAGGTTTTAGTGTACCTGTGTGGTGCCATAAGCACCATAGTGAGTCTGTTGTCTGTTCAGCCAATGCACTGCTTCTCCTGCTTTATCAAAGTCTTTGTCCTTCACAAGCGCCGGCACAGCATAAGCCGTCGCCTCTAGTGAGTGATGATGTTGTCCAGGGACAGTCCAGGACCGACCGGCTGTTTCAAACACAACATAGGATTATTAAAAGATGTGGAGATGAAGCCGCATTCACATATGCTGATCCCGACCATTGAGCTTGATGCTTTGGCTTCTTTATGAGCTTTTTGTGCTGCTGGTATGCCACCAACAAGCAGCTGTAATTACAAGCTACAATTCATAATTCCCACTCTTATTTAATTGTTTATTTTATTGTTCTATGTTGTATGAATATCAACACATTTTTGATGTTGGTGTGACTGACCTTCTCCTTGGGTGGAGTGTCTCATCAAGATGCCTTTATTGAGTTTGTTGGCATTGGCCATGGCGTAGGATGTCATCGCAACAGCGTAAGGATTGGTCAGTTGTGGAAGTCGACCTTCCAAGAAGACAACAGCCTTCCTGATACTTTCAGGCAGACTCTATAAAAGTGTGGGTACGGTGTTAAATCCAAGACGAAGAGTGTAAAAAAAGCAACTGTCAATTATTAGTAGTTCTGGGCTGGTGCTGGGTGATATGCTTCATAGTCATGTATTGTCCTATCTTCTATCACGTGCAATAGTTTACTTATTTGATTAACTTATTTATTCACTTATCTACTCATTCATTTATTTATTGACTTCATTTTGAGGATCAAATGAGGATCGTTTTCTATAATTGTGCAAGCAAAATGAAAAAACTTTTTTACTATCATTGCACAATTTTCCACACCACAAACTGTCAAACACATCTTACCAGCAAACATACACTCGTTTTCATCCTTCTCTCCACTCTCTGAGGCAGAAGTCTCTAAACTCATCCTTTCCAATCATCCTACTACTTGTCCGCTTGATCCTATTCCATCTCATCTCCTACAAGCCATTTCTCCTGCCGTTGTACCTGCACTCACTCACATCGTAGGCTCGTATAAACCCACTTCTTAAGAAACCCACCCTTAACCCAACTCATTTAGCGAACTACAGACCGGATTCCCTTCTACCTTTCATTGCATAAACACTTGAACGAGCTGTGTTCAACCAAGTCTCAGCCTTTCTCACTTCTCAGATAGGTCCTTCAAAGTATCTTGGAGAGGTAAGGTGTCCAAGTCACAACATCTAGCTACTGGGGAGCCTCAGGGCTCAGTACTTGGACCACTTCTACGTGTACAACGTTAGGCTAACCCGAGACTCATTTGCACTTATATATTGTTGCTCTTTTGTTAGTTTTGACTGCTTTTATTGTCCTCATTTGTAAGTCGCTTTGGATAAAACTGTCTGCTAAAGGACTAAATGTAAATTTAAATGTAAGCAAAGATGGAGTGGGTGATGAAGAACAATGTCACGTCAAGGGCTGGGTTTTGACACAAATTTCACGATTCAATTTGATTCTCATTCACAAGCTCACAATTCGATTCGATTACCAATTAAATTCGATTAGATTCAATATTGATTATTTTGGATACATATCAGGTACAGTACATGCCGAATTTTCTCAAGGAAAAAATAATCTCTCAACTAATACTGTAAAATATACATGAGAGTAAGTTGGTACTACATTACTATAATATTGAAGGTTAAAATTGACAGATTTGTTAAAATTACACTTAATGAAGTTTTTAAAATAATAAAGTTACAATTACATAATAATATTTCTACTTCAATTGTATTTATTTTTTTTTAAATATAAACATAATGGTGGCTGTCATAAAAAAATTATGGATTTTTTTCAGACATAAATTGAACATTGAAGAACAGTAAAATGTATAATGAATATGTTATATGGTGCATATATTTAGCAAAATGCACCTCTCCACAGTTTATTTTTCTATCTGACTAATGAGTTTATGGTCACCGAATATGTTTTTCTGAGGTAAATGTGACGTTACATGACATTGTTTACAAGCCGTTATATTGACATCAACAGGCTAGACTAATAGATTCTTGGGATTTAAGAATCAATATTGTTCCATAAAAATGAGAATCGATTAATATCGAGATATCGATATTTTTTACCCAGCCCTAGTCACGTCGCATAGAAATATTTCACCCAAAAGACAAGCCAGTGGATATCACACATGCAATTTGCAAACTTTACATGAGACTTATGTTGGTGACGGACCAAACCACAGTCAATCATTCCCTGAAAGCGAAAACATAAACTGTCTGAGCTTTTATCATCAGATGCTGTATTAAAGGCACAATATGTAATTTTCGCCGCTAGAGGGCGCGTATTCAAATTAAACAAATAGACAAAGGCGTAGTTTGATGACGCCGTGACTGAGCGTGGAATCATGGGAGTTGTAGTCTTCATCCCCACAGCCGATGCAATCCGACGGGACTCGGGCAGAAATCATGTTCATGGATGAGCTAATGATTGTGGGGTAAAGCAGCGCTGTTTTATCATACTAGATACATTTGAAAGTTCTGTTATAATGCTACTCTGTGCGGTCGTCACCGGTCTATTAAAACGCACAACATATTAAAGCATCTTTGGTGTTTCCATGTTTTCTACAAAACAAAACACGGAAATCGAGGGGTTATGACGTCATTGGCAGGCGACACAATGACACTATGGACACGCTCCGTGTCACTAGTTAAAATTGCTTTTTTCTGTTGATTTAAACATTCTTTGAAACAGTTGGGATAATGTAAGTACACAAGTCAGCAAAATATATAACACTGTTCTAGTGGTTTTTGGATATTTTAATAAAAAAATCTTACATATTGTGCCTTTAACAGCACATAAATTCTCAGACACAATGAGAGCAGAATCTACAATGCTGATAATGGTATAGCAATGGTACATCAATCTAAATGTATTAGTATTTAGTATTTCTCTTGTGGATCACATATTAATGGTAGTGAAAAAAATGAGAATAATCAATATTTCTTGTTAAACATGTTTTTTCGCTGTTTGAATATACTTTTGATTTTTATCAATAACTGATTATTGTGCTGTGTTCGGACCTAAACACTATTATTAGGCCTATATAATTCAATTAATAATACTACCACTACTAACAATAATATTAATTATTAGTGTTATTAGCTTCATAAAAATGTTTTTAAAGCTATTGTTGATCCACGACACTGTCATCTATCGGTACCACTCTTGTTCTGGTAAACACAATGATGGAAGAAGTTCACTTACAGCAACTGATTCAGCACAGATCTCTCTGGCCTCTTGCATGGCAATCACAACAAAAGCCGTCAGAGAGGCATCAGCATCATTGCCCTGTACGCCACCCTGGAATAAAGCACAAATAAACAGAAACATTTAAAATTGTTTGTTGCCATCAGCAAATGTGTCGCTTTTTACTAGAGTTATTAATCAATGGACAAAACCTGAATCCATGCAGGACTTTAAAGTATAGTAGTACCTGAAGATAGAGACATTATAGGCATTACTAATGTATCTTGCTATGGTTCAAAAGTATATAACTGGGCCTGAAAGATATGTAGTAATACAGCAATTAAAACATAAGCAAAGTTTTATAATGAATTATAATATTCATTATAGGGACAGTAGTGGCCTAATGGTTAGAGCAGTGTTTTTTTTTTAGCCACAGCAGGGTTTTGATCAGTAAAAAATCCCACGGCACACCACTAAGCACTGCAATATAGTAAAATTGTACAAACTAGCATTGATTCAATTACAGGTTATAAAGTTTATTGTAGCTATATAAGTGCTCAGTTTTTTGTTGTTTAATACACTTGGCCAAAATCTCATGATATAAAAGATGAAGCACTATGCACAGGATATATAAAACAGTAATTTATTATTATTATTATTATTATAATTATTATTATTATATTACATAAATAATAACAAAATACAATAAATAAAATAATAAAAATAAAAAAAACTGATACAGTCTGCAACATAAACTCAGGATAAGTAGAGTTAGATTCTACCATCTTGAAGCCTTTCTGTCAAGCCATCTGCAACAGCTTTCCATGCCTCAAGGGTTGAGGCTCTAGCTTTATTTATTCTGGCTGTTGAGAGTTCTAATATTTCTATATCATGGGGAGGGAGCCATCTTTGTGCAATTATCGTTTTGGCAGATGTTAGTCCTTCCAGCCAGATCTTTCTTTGTAGCTCTGTGAATCCTTACCTGGAATCATCATTTAGAGGGACATAGTGTATTTTTTTTTTTTTTGAGTAAAGAAAACACTGTACTTATTCAAACATCAGTCCTTTATTTACCCTTGCATTGTGAATAAGCATTGTGCGCGCGATGCTTCAATCTGAATGGAGGCGGGTGGAGTTATGAGGTTTCGCTGACAGTTTGAGGATCCAATGGCATTACGAGGTTTAGTCACAAGCTCTTTTGAATGTTTTTCATTTGTTTAATATTTGTAAAACCCACAAACAAAAACAAAAAAAGATGTAAAGTAAAGATGACCAATAGCGTTGATTTAAAATAATAATAATAACGAAATATAATAGAGATAGAACGTTCTGATAATTTTCCATAGTCAAGTCAAGTCAAGTCACCTTTATTTATATAGCGCTTTTAACAATACAGATTGTGTCAAAGCTAATGAACAGCATTAATTAGGAAAATAGTGTCAATAATGCAAAATGACAATAGTAAACACAAATTTTTCAGTTAAAGACAGTTCATCATTGAATTCAGTGATGTCAACATCCAGCTCAGTTTAAATAGTATCTTTGCAATCAAGTCAACGGTATCGCTGGAAATGAAGTGTCCCCAACTAAGCAAGCCAGGGGCGACAGCGGCAAGGAACCAAAACTCCATCGGTGACAGAATGGAGAAAAAACCTTGGGAGAAACCAGGCTCAGTCGGGGGGCCAGTTCTCCTCTGACCAGACGAACCAGCAGTACGGAAAAATCAATTTAAGACGTAATAAAACAGACGATAGTAGTACACTAGTACACCTGACAACCTGTCATGGCACAGTGGTTGGGAAACACTGGGTTAGAGAGTCAGACTTGTAACCCAAAGGTCGCAGGTTCGAGTCTCGGTACCAGCAGGGATTGTCGGTGGGGGGAGTGAAAGACCAGCACTCTATTCCACCTTCAATACCACGACTGAGGTGAGACACAACAAATGCAAAAAAAGAATGGCTGCCCGCTGCTACGTCAGTCATAGTAACATTCAGTTTACCACCATCCCTCTTGAAATTACAGCTGATTCCTCTTTAAAGGAGCCGTCTGGCAATTGTTTGTGCAGAACCAGCCACTTGAGGGCACTACAGATCACATTTCCCTCTATAGAAACAAGGTTATTGGCCATGGCGAAGACTTTAGCCACATATGCTGTCAACCTTTAACAGACAAAAACAAAAGCAACCTAATAACAAGTAATACTTTGCTACTTTTAATCATAATAATATTGAAAAATAACATTTTACCATGTGCTGCTTGGCGTTTTTATGTGGACAGCGTAAGATCCATCTGTTTTGCGGTAGTTCAGCTGCCCTTGATAACCTTAATAAAGAAAGAATATTTACTTTACTATCCATGTATATATTTCAGGTTTTGAGTGTAAAAAACAAATTGTAATGTCCATTTCAAAGTCCGGGTATTAGAGATCATCTGGGTTTGTTTCTGTTTTTGGAGGGTTCTGTCACATGCATTAGTTCTGTGTTTTCAGTTCGTTGCTATGGTTTTTCATTGTTTGATTAATTTGCACACCTGCTGTTCTGTGCTGGCCAGTCAACAAAATCTCTGTGTTTTGTTCATTTCAGTTGTCCGTTCATGTCACATTTTACTTTAAGTTGTTCTGTTTTTTTTTTGTGTATCTGGAGTTCTTTTAAATATAGTTTCTCCTTTATTGCAAACAAGCCGTGAACAGGAGAGCATCATTGAGAGTGCTTTATGATTTTATTTCAAATCATAGTCAGATTCTTTATATCTGTCTTGTCCTGCTGACCTGTGCTGATATGGTTGACGGCTTCATTACGGCGCTCCATGCCAACAGTGTCCCACTGATTGGTGCTGTCCAGATAATGAGTGGCAATGAGAGGTAGCGTCATGCGGTACATGTTCTGCTCTCCACATCCAGTGGGCTTGAAAATAAGGCGACCCATGAAGTCTCCACTGATGGCCTGCTCGACTGTCTGAGCGATCTCTTCAGCTGGAGGATTCAAAGAAGGAACACAGGCTGAGAATTCAGTCTATTACTTATCTTTCTTACGAGGAGCTGTCATTTATGCCACACTTTCAACACTATTATGTGTCTATTATGTGCCTTTTTTTTTCAACTGAAAGCTCAAACAGTTAGTAATCTTTTCAAATTTAACATCCCCTGTAAATAGTCCAGATAATCCAGTGTGATCTATACATTTCAATTCTGTGACCTATTTTCCTCACCAAGTAAATGTTACCTTTTTAAAATACTATAATTTTTCTAGGTAAACTGATGTCAGTAAACTAAATGAAATCTCAAGTGAAATGAAAAACATGAAAACATGATCTGACTACATTCAGTTTCATGTGTCATATGCAAATAAAGAAAAAAAAACAACGTCAACCATGATTGAAGACTGCAAATACACATTAGAGTTTCCACACATCGAAAGCATTTTACTTCACTAGTGGTTGCACTGTTGCATGAAAGATCTAACAGTGGTCAGCAGTGCTATTGTGAGAGAGCTGTTCATGTCATACCCAGTGGTCATCTTAAGAGAGATCAGACATGAGGAGATCAGAAGAAACAGTTCTGAAGAGAGTTATGGAAGGAATACAGAGCTGGGTGCAATCCTGTTAAGGAGCACAGTGCGTGTCTAAAGTAGAGTTTTGAGGGTGCTCATCCCGAAATGCGCTTTAGGACAATGTCTCAGATAATTTGTATATAACTAATTTAATTTTCTTTTATTCTTATTCATACAACTTGTGGTCCTCTAATCTGATTGGCTGAGAGGACAGTTCACCATTTGTCTACATGCTGTCGGAGAGGATTATTCAGAAACCTCTGCATGTTACATTGTCATGCCAGTTAGTGGCAGCAAGTACGTAACTGTCTTTATGTGAGTCAAACAAGCAGTGGTAGACAGTAATGAAGTATTTTTACTTTGTTATTGTAGGCATACTTCAGTATTTTTCAAGTATCTGCACTTTATCAGAGTGTTTATTTTGAGAAACGTATACTTTTACTTCACTACATTCCAAAGCATAATATCATACCTTTTACTCCACTACAAAGAGATGTCGTCCCTCGTTATTTTGAACTGAAGAAATTAGGAGTGCAAAACGTTTCTCGGTAAAAAAATCGAACCATACTGTTCTCCACCTATGGATCGGCACACACCGCGGTTCATCTTAAATCTGACAGCATCTGTAATATGGCTTGTTAAAAATAACAACACTTAAAGCAGACAGAGTTTGGCTAATGTAGGCCTATGTTTCTGTCGATAGATACGCTTTCTGGCTTCCCAATACATTACAACAACAGCGATGAACAAAAGAAGAAAACAAAAAAAACATGGACAAACCAGTCCCTCTTTGTAAACGTTGTTCAGTGCTGGAATATGACCAGTCATTGATGCCGTTGTCGTGCCAAAAATTGATCGTCTGCCCAAAACTGATTTCCGTCTGCGTCCATCCGCTTTACACTTGCCAAAAAATTGACAGACTCTACTTATTGAGTGAACTGTACTTTCTGCCTCAAAATGACTTGATTTCATTAAGTAGAGTCTGTAATCATTTTTTGGCGAGTGTAAAACGGACGGACGCAGACAGAAATCAGTTTTCAGCAGACGATCAATTTTCGGCACGACACTGATCACCCGGGTGTTGATAATTCACGTGCGCAGGTGACACCTGAACAGCACACAATGCTATCTGTGTTTAAAATAAACACATTTAAGCCTTGCCAGTTTAAACATTCAAGTATGGAATGCCACATCTGACAAAATTCGAAATAAATAAATATACAAAGAAATGTAAAAAGAAAAAAAAATCTTAAACACAAGGCGTCATACACTTGCCGACTTAGTTAATGGTTACAGACAAAAACTGGGCATCATAGACTAAATCAGTGGTTTCCTACCAGGGTATTTATACATGTTGAGGTCAAATATGAATGCAAAAAATAAAATGCTCCAACAAGGTCTAAAAAAATTGGACTTATTTACTTTTCGCACAATCAGTCGTGCGCCTGTTCTTGGCTCATTTTGAGGCAGACTTGTGAATTCACTGAATTGACTCACTCTGACTGGATAATTTGAATCAATGAGTTGTTTACTTGAGAACAGCTGCAATCCACTCAATACAATTCATGAATGAATCATTCAGTGAAGTGAATTGACGTGACATGTGGCCAACGTGTATCCTCTGCTAGGATACTCATCTATGAAATGCCAAACCTGACAAAATGAGAAATAAATACACATATAAATAAATATACAAAGAAATGTAAAAAAGCAAAAATAAACAAATACATAAATATAGAAATATACAAAAAAGAAAAAAATATATATTTTATTTCCTTATTTATGTGTATTTTTTTCCACATTTTTTATTTTATTTATTTATACATTTATTTATTTCCACATTTATGTATTTATTTACATATTTATTTCTATATTTATTTATTTACACATTTATTTATTTATTCATTTATTTATTTCTACATTTCTTTGTCCGTAAGGTAATGTGGAGGGCGTGTTTTACCTCAGGAATAGTAATCGAGCCAGAGTAGGCGAGTTGTAAGCTTTGAGGCCACAGTGACAACTTCTGGTCTCAAACCAAATCCAAGAAAGCCTACATGAAGCTCCTGTTGATAGTGGGATGAATGACTTAGATGGGCAATATGACCAAATTCTTAAATCACCGGTTAAGCCATTTAATATCACCCTAACTGTAGGAATACTACAGAACCCTTAAAGGGACATGTTGGTGGGAAAAATATGATGTGGGAGGAAAAAATCTTTTTCAAATCTTTTTCAAATCTTTTGCGTTCCCCAGAGAAACATTGCGTTCGCTTGCAAAGATATTTGCGTTCTCTCGCAAAACCTGTTGAGTTCGGACAAACACTTCAGGTTTACTTTACAGGTTGCTGTGGTCCATACAGCTCCATACATTCACAGTGGAGCGGTTCGAGAGTGTTTCACTATAGAGATTAATGTTCTATGTGGAATGGGGGTTTTGAGTCACCCCAATAACTCCAGTCTTAATCAGAATCAGAATCAGAAAGAGCTTTATTGCCAAGTGTGCTTACACACATAAGGAATTTGTTTTGGTGACAGAAGCTTCCAGTACACAGACAGGTTGACAAGTGACAAGACACAGATAACAAAATAAAAATAAGTGAGTAAAAATAAATATGTAAAAACTATACACAATAGACAAAGAGACAGTAAACAGTATATTGTATGTGCAGATGTGCTATATACAATTACAAATTATGCAAGGGAATGTGGATAGATGTAAGATATATTAGATATATTAAATACATATAATAAATATAAGTATAGATAGTTGGGTATTGCCAACCCTCTACATTGCGAGTATTGCGAGTAAATATGCGACTCAATCTTCACTCTGGGCGACTAAATGATGTCTAATATTAGCCAATGGCTAATAAATTCTCAGATTTTACTGGCCAGTGTGTGAGTTGGAGGCTGAGTATATGATTAGCACAGATATATTTTCACTCACAGAACACTCTGACTGAGCGCTTCAGAGTTTCACTCTCCGTCAAGCGATC